ACACACATCAATTTCAAACATATGGTATCGACATCGGCCAACACTGCACAACCAGGTATCGGGGCCAAAAAATGGTATCGGCGCATCTCTATTTCTTAACTCACTGAACATTCCATAACCACACCCTGAATATATTTCATTTCAACGTTAACCAGAACTAAATATTTAGCACAGTCATTAAAAGAATAAAATAAAAAAAATATGAGTAGAAACTGATCATTCAACATTCAAGCTTCCTTACATTTTTTTTTTTTACTTTTGCTTGGAATGCACTATGTTGACATGATTATATTGAGTGTAATGCTGGGGACCTGGGTTTAAATCCTGGTTGTGTCAGCAAGGAAATCCAGCTCCAAATCTTTGCCAAGTTTGTGATCAAGTTGTAAGGCCTTGTTCCTGTGATCTGTAAATATGGGATAGCAACAAAAAAAGTATTGACTTTTCTCTGGTAGGTTGGTCAGTGACAGAGGCTTGCTTGAAAGTTATGGGGCTGCTGCAAGCACCAGAGGAAGGTTTACGACTCAGACGAAACACCTGAGGAAAGGCCGTGCAGAACTTGCTCATTTAAAGCTCTGATCAGGGGGATCCATTTCAAATCTTAGGAGATGATAACTGTTAGATGTTATAGTGAACAGAGGGTTACCTTCATCTAAACACTAGGGTTGTCACGATACTAAACTTTTCAACTCGATACCGATACTAAGGAAAATATTCGATACTCGATACCATTTTTGATACCGCAAGGATAAAAACAAAGACTCCAAAATTCTACAGAAATATTTTCATTAATAAATAAAATACAATAAATGTATGCTGTGCACAATATTAAGCAAGCTTGATAAAAACCTGTAAAATTAAAATGAAGTGTTCCTTCCTTGGCTATGCTTTGCTCACATAACAATGACACTAGCCAAACCGGTTAAGAAACAAAAATAATTCTCAGCAGCCGCACCTCTTACAAAAAAAAGTCTGAAACTGAAAAGTGCACAGAATTATTCAATCACACAGTGTTCTGAAAGTGCATTGTCCTCTATTCTGCACTTTAGATGAATGACTGCTTAGGTGCCACTGGTGGTAGCACTGTATCGATACTTTTAAAAACCAGTATTGTATCCGAAAACAATGTTTCAGTATCGATACTTTTTTGAGTAGCGATACTTTTGACAACCATACTAAACACTAGTAGATGTTTAGCAGGATATGTAAATTAAATAACTGTCTTTGTTCCTCCATCATCCTGAAAACAGATGATCCACAAGCAGACCCATTCTTCCAATGCCCCCACCCACTAACCTCTTCCAGTGAGCAACATAAAATTGTGTTCAGGGGCAGGCCAGTTGGCACCAGAACAATCTGTGGGAATTTATCTTTTTAACCATGTTATGCAAATTGATTTATATATATACAGTGTTGTGCCTGAACGCGTTCATTGAACGAAAGTTCATGAACTCGTTCATATTTTGGGCGAACGTGAACTGAACGTACTGCATTACTGCCTGGTGAACGTTATTGTGAACTCGTTCATTCTGGTGTCTGTGAACGGCACGCTCTCTCAGTTCAGCTCCGTTCAATCGGTTGCCAGATTTCTATAGAGCCCTCCAGGCGAAACCCCAGCTAAATCACACCGTAAACAGGCCTTAATATGTAGCGGGAAAAACACCCAATCTGGCAACACCAGCTACCAGTGTCGTAGCCTACAGCTGCGTGCGTCATCAAAACAAAATGCAGCGTGGAAGCCAAAGCAGCACGGAGGCGACCGTGGAGGCGACAAAGCAGCAGTATGATCACTTAAAACAGTTTTATGACCAGGTGGTTGGTGAGGACGATGGCAACAAGTTTGCCCGCCGGCTTTCAGTAAAAAAATCCGCACTTCAGTAACCTTAAATTCCTACCTCAGCCTGGTCCCTCAGTTTGTGTTAGTAAAATCTTCTTCAGCGGAGGTCTTCAACAGGGGATCCGCGACCCCTAGGGGGTCTACGGAGGTACTGCATGAGGGTCTGCATGGTTAGTTGATATTTTTATATTCCCCCCCTGCAATTTTTCCCCCCACTAATTGAAATGTCTTTAAATACTCATTAACATGAAATCAACACACTGTAGTAAAAAGATAAATGGAGACAAAAGATGTCTTTCAGTCATCAATGCACACATTCAGCGACACACAGGAGCTCTTTCAAGCTGGGCACCGTTTCCTTCACAACAACCAGGAATCAGAATCAGAAAAACTTTAACAATCCCAGGGAGAAATTAATTTCTTTACATTACTCCATCTGTAATAGAGTGACTATAGGACACAATTTCATACAATATATATAGTTAGGGGGTCTCGCTCCATCTCGCCATCAGTTTGGGGGTCCTTGGTCTGGAAAACATAGAAGACCCCTGTTCTTGAGGGTTTTACTATCCATGTAACTTGTTTGTTAAACCTGCCTGGTATAATTTTCCAGGATTCCAGTATTCCTTTTTAGTATGTATTGAAATGGAATTTCAAATGGAAAAAATTATTAAAATAAAAAAAAAAAAAACATTTGCACCTTAAAGACTACTTTCCTATTTTTCTTTTAATAATTACTCATAAAAAAGACCATTCAAGCAGCACATTTTTCCTGATGTTTTTGAGAATATACTGTAGGGGTGAAAGCTGCAGCTGCTACTAGTGTGAAGTGAATGGACAGCAACAAAGCGTTAAAGCAACAATGGGGAAATGCTGTCCCCTCAATGCTAATGTAAACCCTGGTTGGATAAGGATTCAAAACTGGATATGAAGATAAAATCTGACGCACAGTTTCAGAGTTACAACTGATAAAATAATTGCTGTCTGTGGTTCTACAGTAGGCTATGGTGTAATTGAGCAATATATGAAAAAAAAAAAAAAGAACTATGAACTAGTTAATTTTTTGGTTTTGAATTATGAACTATGAACTGAACTAGTTCATTTTAAAATAAGTGAACTGAACTTTGAACTAGTTCACGTAGAAAGACCAACACTGTATATATATATATATATATATATATATATATATATATATATATATATATATATATATATATATATATATATATATATATATATATATATTGATAACTACAAAATGAAATTGCCTCCAGTTTTTTAATTCTGTATCCTTAACAGCTGCAGTGCTTTGGTTATTCTCCAGCAGCCTGGATTAATCAATATTAAAACAGTTTAATTCGATTTTTAAATTCAGATTACATTACAGCCATCAAAAGAAATCTATAAAACTGGATCATTCTCATGAGCAGCTTCAAATGTAAATAATAGTCTTCAGTGCATCTTTATAGCAGTTTTAAAGCTTGCGTAATTTTTTATTTTTTTGTTTCGGGGGGGAGTGGGGTGGGGGGTGTATTAATGTCTTTCATGGGGCCCCAAATTTCTGGCAGCGACCCTGATCCCTTGTATCACAGTGTAAGTTGAATATTGCATCATATCACTTATTCTGATCACATATTTGCTCATGGTTGACGCTGTGTGTGATGAGAATTGTGATGCACTACATTATGCAGCTCCCCTTAATTATAAATGACGAACCAGGTTTAGCAGTTTTTTTTTTTTTTTTTGCTGAAATCTCCCCTGCTCCACAATTTTCTATCCTTCATTAAGTTCTACCTTCCATCATTCTACCTTCCTTCCTGGTCCTCTGTACAGCCTCCAACAATCCTCTCTCCTCTGCTCCACTCTTCTCATTTTCTGGCTTCCTGCACTATAGATGCTCCTGTAATCGCAGGCATGATGAGCCAGCTGCAGAAACAGAGACATATGCAGACAGAAAGCTCCCTGCCTCAAACTGGATCAGTTATTATGCTCCTATTTGGCAAGCCAAGGATGCCACTATTCGCATCTAATTACCACGTTAAGATTGAAGTTTATTCGCTAAAAACGACAGGTTTCCCGAAATTTCGCCACTTTTTTCGCCGTCTTTTACCAACAAGCGCCGCTTGTTACGTCTGTCATGATAGGACCAGAAGACATGCGTTTTTAATGCCGCTTCTCAGTTGTAAACGCTGGTGAACTGTTCCTACTAATACCTGTAAAGCACAAAACATTAGTTGGCGATCCATGTTGATGCAACACGTTTTTACATGAAAATAGGCACGAAAATGGATTCAAAATAACAGCAATGTGCATGTACTGAATATATTCCTAAAATTAAGGCTTTGTGAAACGGCAATGCAGTGAACTTTGGCAATGCTGCAACATTGAGCTTTGTCAGAGTTTTCCACAAAGCAGATCTGTGCTGAACTATCTTGGTCTGGCTGCCTTCATCAGCGATTGGATGCAACCAGTTCAAATGCATTGGCTGTGGGAAAAGAAGGAAGGACATCATTATCATATTAGGAAAACACGTGTTAAATATGCGCTTTGTCTGGGTCAGAACGCGCGTTAAAAACGCGCGTCTAGCGGTACCATCATGACTGACGTAAAAAGCGGCGCTTGTTGGTAAAAGATGCCGAAAAAAGCAGAGAAATTTCGGAAAAACGTTTTGAGTGGGTTAATTTCAGTCTTAACGTGGTAATTAGATGCGAATATTGGCATTCTTGGCTTTCCATATTTTACCGGCGCGCGAACGGACTTCAAGGTGCACGCGTACATGCGCCCTTACACGAACATATCCCCCAGGACTATTAGACTTCACCTACGCCACCACCTTCAATATGCTCAAGAAGAAAAACAAATCGCAGAGAAAAGTTGCGAGAAATGTCACCCAAGCTCCACACCACAACGAATTTTTGACATCTGCAGGAGTAAAGCGATGAGCACCATACGAGCCAGCAGGCGCAGAAAAGAGCAGTCACACTGTGAGGTTATGACACAGCCTAATCAGATTACAGCAATGATTCCTTTCCAATGAACTAAGAATACAATTCCCCATGGTCCCACGGTAGAAAAACGACAAGAAAAAAAAGGAGCATCCTATCATTCATACACACAGTGAAACACGCAGACTCGATATATGTCATTAACAGCCAATATGCCTTACCGTCATTGATCTTCAGCTTCTCTTCGTAGTCTCTTTTCTCTCCCAAGAAGCCCCTCTTCTTGCAATGTTTGTCCCTTCGTCCTCTTTTTCTTTGATAAACTAATGGGTGTTAGTTAAATCGTAACATGGAGCCCTGGGAAGATTTAGATCTCATCGGTTTATCCCAGCTCCAGCTTCTCTCCTTATCCAAAAATGAGATAGTATAACACCACTGTTTTTCTAGTGATGAACAGGCAGTAACGTGTGCGTGTCTATGAGAAGTCTACACAGGCGTGCACAAATAGAAGAGTAAACTCGGGGATCAGGAGTATGTGGTTTGAACATGAGACGCTAAGTAAGGCTTTCCCATCTTGAGAAATCCAAGGAGAAAACAATGCGCAGAAAGGTTGAGAAATTTTCATAAAGCGTCCCTTTCTCGCAATTAGGGCCACACCAGCAGATTCTGCTCCATCCCCGTGAACGCTGTCTCTCTACAGAATCCCTGGGGGCTGATCCACACCCAGATCAGGCAACAGTAGAGCCGAAGGGCTAAACAGCTCTAATCCTGATACAGTCCATGTCAAGGGCCCGCAGAAATCAGTGCGCAAAGCCAAATATACATCAATAAGGAGCTGCCAACAGATAGCGTGTCCTTGAGCCAGAAAATGATCTGTTCCCCTGTGGAAACAGCTTCTCCTCCTGGCGGGAGCAGCCTATCAAGCATACAAGACAAGAAATAAAAATTCAGAGCCGCCTATTTAACGTTGCTGCAGCAAGATCGGAAGCTGGCAGCTCCACCGGGACCGAAAGCGCTAAAATCCTCCTTCGGATCGGCTGTAAAACCAGTTCGGGCGGTGTCCCTCTGTTATCTGCGCCTTAGCTGTAATTATTCAGGTACCGTTAAAGTTAATCCGAAACATGCGGATTGCAACAAAATGTTCAACCTTGGGGAAATAAAGATAGCGGGAGCAGCAAATCCTAGAACTTTCACGACGCTGACACATCCAGTCCTGGGTTGGTGGAAGCTCTCAGACCCGCTCTGCATCGTCACAGACCGCGATAACCTCCAAGCGGATTGGCTTCACATACCCGGACATACTCCAAACATTGATGCAGAAAAATCCAACATCTCACTGTGCCTCCCAACCTCCAGATTCATTCAACATCTCAAAATGAGCTATAGGGAATCCTGTGCGTTCTTGCCGCCGGATGGAGGCGGCTGTGGGCACAGGATGTCGAATAATGAAAAAGACACACCCATTTTATCCATCCATCTGCACATCTATTCAAGAAGAGGGGGATTTTTTACCTCTTTAAAAGCCGAAAAAAACAACACAGCACAAATAAATGCTTAACAATTAAAGACTGACTCTTTCTTCTCAAATAAGCCAATAGAGGAGGGATTGCTAATGGCTTAAATATCGGTAAACAGAGACGGTAGTTGCAGGGGGCCCCGTCATTTTCACCTGGTTGGCCCCGTCAGCAATTGTGGACAGGGACTTTTTTTTTGGGATGAAAAATTTTTAAAAACCCCCAAAATTTGTTACTTTGGGGCCCCCTCTTTTTAAAAAAAAATAGAATTTTCAATTTGGGGGGCCCATTTAAACGAAAAATTAATGTTCAAGATTTTTTTTAAATTTTTTTTAAAAGAAAAAAAATTTTTAAAAATTTTAAAATAAAATAAAAGCCTTGGTTGTAAAAAAATTGAAAAAGAGCAATTTTTTTAACAAAAAAATTTTAGAAACCCATTTTTTTTTCTTTTTTTCCCCCCATTTATTTGCTTTAAATTTTTTGGCATTTTTTTTTTTGGGTTGAATTGGATAAAGGGTTTAATTTTGGGGGCATGTTTTTAAAAAAAAAAACTAAAAAAAAAAGTTACTTTTTGGAAAAATTTTTTACTAAAAAAAAAAAAATTTTTAAAAACCCCCCAAAATTTTATATTTTAAAATAAAAAATTTTTTTTTTGGGAAAAAACTTTTTACAAAAAAAATTTTTTCAAAATTTATATAAAAAATTTTTTAAAATTTTTTTTCTATTCTAATTAGAAAATTTTTGTAATACCCCCCCAAAATTTAAAAAAAAAAAACTTTTTTTTGGGACTTATGGCTCTCACTGGAAAAGGGTTTAAATAAAAAAAAATTTGGTAATTTACAAAAAAATTATTAAGAGAAATTTTTTTAAAAAATTTTTTTTGGATTTTTATTAAAAAAAATTTTTTTCCCAAAATTTAAATTTGGGATTTTTTTCCCCCTTTAAAAGGGTTTTTTGTTTTAAAAACCCCCTTGGGGGCTTTTGGGGGATTAATCTTCCAGACCCCCCTTTTGGCCCAAAATTGAGGGGGAAAATTTTTTGGGAGGCCTTTTTGGGCCCCAAAAAGAAAAAACCTTTGGCCAAGGCCCCGTTGGGAAAAAATTTGAGGAAATTTTAAAAAATGACCTTAAAAGATTTTTTTTCCCCCTAATTTTTGGGGAGCACCAAAACCCCCTTAGGGCCTGCCTCCAAACCTTTTTCCCAAAACCTTTTTCCCCCTTTTTTTTTTTTTTTTAATTTTTTAAAAAAAAAAATAAAAAAATCGGATTTTTTTTCAATTGAAAAAAAAGAGCAAGCCCCAGGAGGGAAAAACCCTTTAAAAATTAAATTTTTTTTTTTTGTTTTTTTTTTAAATAACTTTTTTTAAAATACCTTAGGTAAGGACCCAAGGTTTTGGTAATTTTTCCAAAAGGGGGGAAAATTTTTAAGGGGGAAAACCTTTTCGGATTTTTACAACAAAAAATTTTAACAAATGTCTTTTTTTTTTTAAAAAAAAAACCTTTAAATTTTATGATCCCGTTCCCCCCAAAATCAGAATTTACAAACCCTTTTTAAAAAGTTTGGCCCGGGGGGTTTTAAACAAATGAAGATATTTTCCTTTTTCCCTTACAAAAAAAAAAAAAAATTTAAAATTTCAAAAATTTTTTTTTAAAAATTTAAAAATTTAACAAAAATAAAGCTTTTGGGTGGGTTTTTTTTCCAATTTTTAAAAAAAATTGAAAAAAAATTTTTAAAAATTTTAAAAAGGACCCTTTTTTTGGTTTTTCCCCTATAAAAGGAAAAACCCTTTTTAAATAAAAATTTTCCTTTGGTTTTTTTTTGACCAAAATAAAAAAAAAATTTTAACGAGAATTTTTTTTGGGTTTTTTAAAAAATTAAAAGGGTTTGAGGCCAAAATGCCTTTTCAATTGGATAAACCCAAATTTGGGCTTCTATAAACAGAAAAACTTTAAATGATACAGCCATGATTTTCTGGAAATTTTTTTAAAAAAACCCCAAAAAAAAAAAAAAAAAGGGTAAAAAATCGAGGTTTTTTTTTTTCCAATTAAAATGGGGGAGAAAAGGGTTTTTTTAAATTGAAAGCCCCTTTTTTGGCTTCCTACCTGAAACAAAAAAATTTAATGATAACCCATGTTTTTTAAAAAAATTTTTTTTGGAAAACTCCTTAAAGTAGTTTTAGCCAATTTTTTGGCGGGTTTTAAATTTGGAAAATTACCCCCCAAAATTTTTTTCGGATTAGAAGGACTCAATTTTTTTTAAAGCCAAAAATGTTTAAGCCATTGTCTTTTTTTCCAATTTTTTGATGAAAACCAAAAAAAAAAAAAAGGTTTTAGCAGATTTTTTGCCCAAAGCTAAAAAAAATGGGGGGAAAATTTGCGTTTTTTTCCATTAAAAACCCCAAATTGGGCCCCCCAAACCTAAACAAAAACCATTTGATAAAAGTTTTTTTCTTTGGAATTTTTTTTTCCGAAACAACAAAATAAAAAATTTTGGGGAATTTTTTTTTTTTTAAAAATAAAAATTTGGGGGGGCCCCAAAATGCCTTTTTAAGGGGGAAACCAAATTGGGTTTTTTATGAAAAAAACCATTATAAAGCCATGATCTTTTTCTAAAAAATTTTTTTTTAAAAAAAATAACAATTTTTTTTTAAAAAATTTTTTTTTTGGGCCAAAAATTTCAAAAAAAAAAAGGGGGCCCAAAATTTTTTTTTTTTTAAAAAAAAATAATTTTCCCTCCCAAAAAAAAAAAAAAAAAGAAAACCCAAGTTTTTCCCCGGGCCAAAAAATTTTTTCCCTTTAAAAAAAAATGGTTTTAAAAAAAAATTTTTTATTTTTTTTCCGCCCAAAAAAAAGGGGAAAAATTTTTTTTTTTGAAAAAACCCCTTTTTGGGGCCCCTTTTTAAAAAAAAAAAAAATTTGCCTGTTTTTTTAAAAAAAAAATTTACCTAAAAACCCAATTAAAGTAAAAACTACAATAATTTTTGATTTCCAAGTTTTTCCAATTTTTGGGGGAAAAGCTTTTTAATGAGAAAACCCAATTTGGGCTTTTTAAAAAACAAACAAAAATTTGATACGGGGGAAAAATTTTAAAATTTTTTTTTGTTTTTTAAAACTCAAAAAAGAGTTTGAGCCAATTTTTTTTTAAAGCTTTTGGGGGTTGGAAAAAAAAAAGGGGCGCTTTTTTAAAGTTTTTTAAAATAAAAAAAAAATTTTTAATTTAACCATTTTTTTTCCCTTTTTTTTTTCCCTAAAAAAAACAATTTGTGATTTACAGAAACATTTTTTGGTTTCCATGTTTTTTAAAAAATTTGGGGAAAAAAACCTTTTTTAGATTGAAGTGTTTTTGGGTTTTCCCTATGAAAAAACAAACTTTAATGAAAAAAATTTTTTTTGGCCTTTTTCCCAAAACCAAAAATAAAAGTTCTGGAAATTTTTTTTTTTGAAAAAATTAAAGGGTTTTTGGGAAAAAATTTTAAATTTGGTTTTTCCCAATTTTTTTTTGGCCCTTTTTTTGGGAAACCAAACTTTAATGATACCCAATTTTTTTTTTGGAAAAATTTTTGACCCTAAAAAACTAACAATATAAAAAAAATTGAGCAGATTTTTTGGTTCCAAGTTTAAAAAAAATTTTTACCCCAAAATCCCTTTTTCGTTGAAAAAACTAATTTTGGGCTTCTTTTCCTGAAAAACAAAACCGTTAAAAAAAACAAAAAAATTTTTTGGGCAATTTTTTTTTAATCAAAAAAAAATTAAAAAAATTTTTGAGAAGAATTTTTTGGTTCAAAGTTAAAAAATTTGATCCAAAATGGGTTTTTTTCTTTAAGGGGACTAATTTTTTTAAAAAAAAAAAGTTTTTTTCCACCAGATTTTTTTGGATTTTTTTTCCTAAAAAAAACTTTGTGGGTTTGACAAAATTTTTTGGGTTCCATGCTTAAAAAAAATTAGGAAAAAAAACCAAAAAAAAGGGGCCCAATTTTTTTTTCCCCAAAACCGTGGGAAAAGTTTTAAAAAAAAAACCCCTTTTTAAAAACCCCAACTAAAATAAAAAAAAATTTTAAAACCTGAGCGAATTTTTAAAGTTAAAATCAGTTTTTTTTGGGCCAAAAATCCCAATTGGGGGCCAAAGGGTTTTCCCCATTAAAAAAAAAAATTTTTTTTAAGAAAAAAAAAATTTGTTTTCTGGTTTATTTTTTTTGACCAAAAAATAAAAAATAAATTAGTTAAGCTAAAAATTTTTGGCCAAGCTTAAAAAAAAAGTTGGGCCTTTGGTTTTTTTCCCAATTGAAAAAAAAATTTGGCTTTCCCTTTTGAAAAAAAAACCTTAATGATAAACCCCATGTTTTTTCTTTTTTTGCCCCAAAACTCTTAAAAGTTTGAAAATTTTTTTGGTTTAAAAAATTAAAATTGAAGTTTTTCCAAAAAATTTTTTTTTCAATTAAAAAACCCCAAATTTTTTTCCCCCCTAAAAAAAAGAAAACCTTTTAAAATTAAGGGCCTTTATCTTTTTTTTTTTTTATTTTTTTAAAAAAAAAATTTTTTAAAAAAAAAAAATAGAAAATTTTTGGTTTTTGTTAAAACCAAAAGGAGGAAAATTTTTTTTGAAAAGGGAAAAAATTTGGCTTCCTTCAAAGAAAAAAAAAAAATTTGAACAGCCATTTTTTTTTTTTTGGGAATTTTTTTTAAAATTTTAAAACAAAAAAAATTTAAAAGTGTTTAAAATTTTTTTTGGGGTTAAATTAAATTGGGGTTACCAAAACCCCCCTTTTAATTAGGGGACTTTTTGGTTTTTAAAAAAAAACCCTTTTAATTAATAAGATGATTTTTTCGGTTTATTTTTTTTTTTTTAAACCCTAAAAAAAACAAAATAAAATTAAAAAAATGAAATAGATTGGGCAATTTTTTTTTCCCCCCTTTTTTTATTTGGGTTTTGGGTTTCCCCCCAAA